CCCATTGTGCGTAAGAAAGCAAAAGAATGGCCCCAAATCATTGCGCTAGTAAGTGCTGAAGCTGGGATCTAAACACAGGTTTGGTTTGGTTTGTATTCAAATTCAATAGCCATGAGCTTTAATATTACACTGTGATGTTTCCGTGGTATGTGTGTGTGTCTCTATGTATCTTTCTATATATACCCATGCATGTTTATATTTCTTTGTTTTCCTGTGATTCTGTGCCTGTGAATCTGTGCATGTGGAAGTGTGTGTGTATGATCACACAACATATGCATTCCAGATCTCTTAGAAAACTTTCTGGTAATTTCCACATTTGCTTGAATACAGACATCAGAGAAAGCTTAATAACTTTCATTTTTGCTTTAAAAGGCTAAGAAAAAGGTACATTAAAAGTCACAGCTTCCTTTGAAAAAGTATTTATTCATGTGTCCTTTCATATGTGGTTGAATCTTTATATTTTCATATGTATAAAGCTGCATGAGTCCCTATGTCTGTTTTTGTTTGAGCATAATTAAGTCCATGTATATATTTATATGCTTATGTTGGCAGGTATATATGTGTGCACATTCACATATTTAATATACATTTAGGACTGAGTGCTATATGAGCATAGCAGTACATTTGTAGATCAGTGGCTCTGGTAGTTACTTCTACCTTCTTTCCTACCTATCTATAATGCATATCTAGCTCAATATGTCTGTGTGTGTGTGAGTGTGTGTGTGTGTGTGAGAGAGAGAGAGAGAGAGAATGCATGCCAATTGTGCATGTTGACATGTAAAGGTGCATATCTGTGCATTTGAGTCCCTCTGAATATGCCTGTATTTTTAGTATGTCTAGGACCGCATTGCCTGTAGATATATGTGTATATCCTTTACTTTTATATAATGAGGATGCTGTGTATTTGCATTGGGATATATCTGGCACCTGTGTGTACATCTGCATGTACATTTACAGGGGTGGGCAAAAGTACGTTTCAGTTGTGAGTATGCAAAACACAGTTTATTCTTGGGGAGGTTGGTTGGCTTGGGGGAGGGGCTGCGGGAATTTGGCTGTGGGAGTGCACTGACCACCAGGGGTTAGCTCCAGCATTGAGCGTCTGCCCCCTGGTGGTCAGTGCGCATCATAGCAACTGGTACTAGTTCTGGTCGTAATGGTCGCTTAGGCATATATATGTGTATATATATGTATGTATTATTTTCTATATGAACAACTGTAGACCTACCTTTGCCCCTTTATGTGTCTATATGTGTAAGTGCATTTACAGAGCTCAGTGTGCATGTGCCTTTAAGGGCTGTTTGGAGTGTGTCACTATCTATGTCAGTGGTTTTCAACCTTCTGGCCCTTTAAATACAGTTCCTCATGTTGTGACCCAACCATAAAATTATTTTCGTTGCTACTTCATAA